ARRAWKKTTTTTYYTGCTATATTTGACAAAATAGCAGTCAGSTATGGATAAAAACAATTGGTCTATTAGCAATATTTGAATAATTCAACCAAAAATACTTTGATTCATGAGTTTCTGCCACAGTTTTACTTTTTTGTCATTTGTGTTTATTATGAAATTGRTCTTAAATTTGATTTCACTTGTCATTAAAAAGTCTTAAAAAGTCTTAAATGTAACTTGCCTTAAAAGCTCAGTGGTTAACCTCTGTAACCAGGAAATGGTTTTTCAAAGAAAAACTGACAGACTAGTGTTGTCAGTAAGTGTGCTTTCTCTGAGAATGTGGTTTTCATATCGCACAGTTTGGAGGGCTGCATTCATTTAATGTATGCTTCAACTAGGAATTGAAGTGGCACAGATAATGTGCTTATTTCAGTGTTCATGAACTACAAGAGAAAGAAGAGAAAGATTTCACACTAGTTGTCAAATCAGACAGAATGTCTGCCGTCTTCATTTTAGCCAGGACTGTTTAAATGAAACTGATGCATCTCATCCCTTATAGTGGTAAAGGCGACACACCTGAAGCCAGAGCTTTAGCCAAACAGATAGCAACAGCCCTGCAGAACCTGCAGTCCAAAACCAACAAGGCTGTGGCAAACAGCAGACCTGCAAAGGCAGCTGTTCACTTGGAGGGGAAGACTGAACAGGCGCAGCGTTGGATTGACAATCCCACTGTGGACGACAGCGGTGTGGGTGAGTCTGGCTTCCATCCTTCCAGTTTTTTTTTCTTTTCTTTTTTTGTCTCTTTTGTTTTCTCTTTCACTCCTCCACATTCCTTTCACGGCTCTGGTGGCTTAGAGCATATTCACGCAGTATTGTGGGCTATTGTCAGCCTTGTTGTGTTGTTCTTTGGGTTTGGCATGGCTCTGCCAAAACTTCCAACATCTGACATGTTTACAATAGAACAAGAGGTTGGACACTTTGTGGTGAGGAAAAACAAACACTTGACATCACACAGGAAGAGACGAGCGTAACTGTGTGAATGCTTGTTGAGCCTTTACACAATTCAGATCATTTTTTTCCTTCCATACGTTTTACAGCAGGTATCTCACTCTGCAGATTTTGTACTATTTCAATAATTTTTATATATCAAAAGATTCAGCTCCTTTAGGACATTCTGACAACGACTTTTGGTACTTCAGCAATTTATACTTTCTGAGATATTTAGCTTATTCTGACATTTTATTTCTCATTGAAAATGAATGGAAATCTTTACATTTTACCATTTTTTTTTCTGGTTCTGTTTTTTGTGTGTGCTAATTTCAGCTTCCTTTGGCTTCTATTTAGCTGATTTTAGCTTATTTCTGCCTTTTTTAGCTATTATTTTGACCCTTTTTGCTATTCTTTTGCTGATTTAAACCTTTTATGCTTAATTTCAGCTGTTTTCTGGGTCTTTAACTGCTTTTTAGCTAATTTAAACTTTTTTTTAGCATTAAACATTTGCATTGTATTTTCACTGTAAATTCTCTAGTTATTTTTATATATTTTTGACCATATTAAATTAATCCAGTTTTTTCTATCTTAATATTTTCATCTTGATTGTTGGTTTGGCTTTCTTGAACTCAAAAATGAGAATGAACTAAAACAGTAACTAAGACAGGGGTGTCTAATCCTCATTCTCGAGGACCACTATCCTACTTGGTTTCCCTGCTCTAACACACCTGATTTGAATGAATGGGGGATTAACAGGCTTCTGCAGAACATGAAGAGGTCATTCAATCACTGAATCAGGAGTGTTGAGCAGAGAAACAAGTAAAACGTACAGGATAGCAGTGCTTGTGGACCAGGAGTAAACACCCTCAACTTTTTTGTTGTCCTCAATGACTTTCAGCATGTGTGTGAAAAAAGGATCTTCTCTAAATACGTTCAGTTGTTTTGAACTCTCAGTATTTTTTAAATCAGKGTTTCAGTCGCTTCTATTAGAGTGAAGGTTTAGTCTTTATTTTGCAGCACAGATGGGTTCAAACGCTCCTGTTCCATCTGCTTTTAGTTGTTTTTTTTATTACAAAACCTTTAAGTATTTCCATTTATTTTATTCATCCGTTATCTTTACTTTCTTCTTGCTTTGTGTTGCTGGTGCCCATGTCCTGCAGTTATTGTGCAGTATGTGGGGTACACCTTGTTTAATGTATGTATTTTGTGTTGGACTGCTGCCTGTAAAACATAATGTCATATTACAGAGGAGACTGAACAAACGAAAAGTGTGTGTAGGTTTAATGAAGCCACACAAAACAAGCRCTTAATTTTACTGTTTCGGTGGTGCAGACATTTTTAAAAGTCTGRGCTTCTCTAATTGTTTTTGTCAGTGTCAGTAAAACATCGTTAAATTGTCGTATGTGTGTGTTTTCAGGTCAGGCAGCCATCCGTGGCCTGGTGGCAGAGGGCCGCAGGCTGGCTAACGCTATGCCCGGCCCCTACAGAGCAGAGCTGCAGGGGAAGTGTGAGCAGGTGGAGCAGCTTATGGCCCAGCTGGCTGACCTGGCTGCCCGTGGTGAGGGAGACTCCCCTCAGGCACGCGCTGTGGCCCAACAGCTCAAAGAAGCATTGAAAGTAAGATGTTTTTGAACAATCGCACAGCCAGGGGTTTATGAGATTATTATAGGGAAATGGCTCCCTCTGCTGGTTACTTTTACTATGTTCACTTAWAGGAAAAACTTCCTTTTGTTTAAATATTATTAAAAAAAACTAAAGTTAGATAAAACTTTGAAGAATGGAACAGGGTTAAAATATTAAATATATCACTTAGCAATTTTAATTTAATTTAAAATATAGTGTCAGAGTTCGGTGAGAACAAATGTTGCAATGCAAAAACAGTCCATCTAACCAAGTTTTAAAACCTTATAGAAAAGTATTTTTGATCTCGTTTTGAGACTGATTTCCTAAACAAGAACTGATTGTGTAAGAATAATAATCTTGTTTTCAGAATGTGTGAGATTATTTGTCCTGTTTGCCTGAAAATTTGACTCAAATTAAGTTAAAAAAAATTTCTGCCAATGGAGAAAGAAAATTTTACTTGGTAAGATTCTTGAAATAAGAAAAAATTTAGTCAAATCAAGTATTTCAAGAATCTTACCAAGTAAAAATTTCTTACTCCATTGGCAGAAATTATGACTTAATTTGAGTCAAGTTTTCAGGCTAACAAGACAAATACTCTTACACAATCAGTTCTTGTTTAGTAAATCAGTCTCAAAACAAGATCAAAAAGATTTTTTTGGCTGGATATAAGGTTTTAAAACTTGGTTACATGGACATTTTTTTGCATTGTGGTTATAACATATTTTTGTCCTCTTCTCAGGATCTTAAAGGAAAGATGCAGGAGGCGATGACTCAGGAGGTTTCCGACATCTTCAGTGACACAACAACCCCGATCAAGTTACTGGCCGTGGCTGCCACTGCGCCCCTCGACGCCCCCAACAGAGATGAGGTCGGCGGTACAATCATTCTGCTCCTCGCTGTGATGCCACTGTATTACTCAGAGCTGCGTTATTTTCAACATGTTTTTTAAAATCTTGTGCAGGTTTTTGAAGACAGAGCTGCCAACTTTGAGAACCATGCCAACAGACTTGGTGCCACAGCGGAGAAGGCTGCTGCTGTCGGCACAGCAAACAAGAGCACGGTGGAGGGAATCCAGGCCGCCGTCAAGTCAACAAGAGACTTAACACCACAAGTATGTCACGGCTGAGTGCTTATCCTTTTCTGGTTTTGTCCTCCCTCCACCCTGAATCACACGCCACAGAGCTTAAGTGTTTCTTGCTGTCAGTGGTTTTATAATTAATTGCTGGGATTATTTTTAGGTGGTTTCTGCTGCTCGTATTCTCTTGAGAAACCCTGGCAACCAGGCAGCCTATGAACATTTTGAGACGATGAAGAATCAGTGGATTGACAATGTAGAGAAAATGACAGGTGAGTTGCCATAAATATTCAAATCACTGATCAAAGCTGTTAGAGATTCCCCAGTTCTAGTTAAAGTCTTGATGTTTTCCTGTGGATCTTAAGGTTTGGTGGATGAGGCCATCGATACCAAATCTCTGCTGGACGCGTCCGAGGACGCCATAAAGAAGGACCTGGATAAGTGCCGTGTGGCCATGAACAATCACCAGCCTCAGATGCTGGTAGCTGGCGCCACCAGCATCGCCCGCAGAGCCAACCGGATCCTCTTGGTGGCAAAACGTGAGGTGGAAAACTCTGAAGATCCCAAATTCAGGGAGGTGGTGAAGGCCGCGTCCGACGAACTGAGCCAGACTATTTCTCCCATGGTGATGAACGCAAAGGCTGTGGCTGGAAACATACAGGATCCAAGTAAGTTAATGTCAATGACAGACACTAGGGGTTTGATTTTTGTGGAAGCACCTGATTAACAGCAACTTCTTCATTTGTTTTAAATCACCAGATCTTCAGAAAGGCTTCCTGGACTCGGGCTATAGGATTCTCAGTGCTGTAGCGAAAGTCAGAGAAGCCTTCCAGCCCCAGGAGCCAGACTTCCCACCACCACCTCCTCCTGAACTGGATCAGCTTCATGTAAATCCTCAGCCAAGAACTTTGTTTGTAATTTAAAAAAATGCAGGCTTCAGTATTTAATTAACAAACCTATTTTGCCATTCTAGCTTAACGACGAAGCAGCACCTCCCAAGCCTCCTCTTCCAGAGGGTGAGGTCCCTCCCCCGAGACCGCCGCCTCCGGAAGAAAAAGACGAAGAATTCCCCGAACACAAGGCCGGCGACATCGTCAATGAGCCCATGATGGTGGCTGCCAGGCAGCTTCACGATGAAGCTGGCAAATGGTCCAGCAAAGTAAGTCAGCGTGATGTTTCCACGTGACGCTAACAACCRGATCACGTGAACAGCTCGGAGCGTCGGTGCAAATGCATGGGAAGCTGTTGACAGTAATATAGAACTGGGCAATATGGCTGAGAAATGTATCACGAWACAGGTGTTTCATATGGATACTTACTGATTAGTTGTTTGTTTTATCTATTTGAAATAAGGACCAAGAGAAAAAAAGGCTGAGTAATACTTCCAAACTGGTGACGTGACCTTTCCTTAGTAACCCACAATTTTCACGTCTTTGTTTTTATTTAATTTTGAAGCAGTTGTGAGGCACAGTGGTGAAACATGAAACTGTTACTGTGCCTGTTACTCAACAGGTTGTTGCAGCTCACCAAACAGTGAGTGAGTTGTTGTCACCGGCCTTGCTTAGCTGAGCTTTAGCTGCTGGGTAGCTTCAGTAGCTATTGTGTGGGTCGTCACAATCTCTGGTCCCGGTCTATTCGTAGTTTTTATTTCCCTAARTAAATTTTGTAAACTTCTGCAAGTGAAATTATTAACGTTCTATCAAACATATTTTCTGTCKGTATCCATCACGCATCTATCGCTGTGTATATATCATTAGCGTTTCATCGCCCAGCTCTACAGCAGTGATTCCCAACCAGGGGTATGTGAGCATATTACAGGGGGTATGCGGAAAAATTTCTCAGGTGTATAAAAATAAATAAAAATAGGACTGAGATATGTAGGGCCTTATGATTTCCGCAATGTGGAAAATGCAAACAGAATCCTGTATAAAAGGAAGAATCTCTTGGCATTTGCTCATTTTGGGGTATTTTATGTATTTTGGACGCTGCTGTTTCCTGCACCTGCCGTTACCTGCTTTATTTATTTATTTATTTACTTATTCACTTTCAAGGCAACATATTTATTTTTATGTTTAATTTGAGTTAAAAAGAATAAAATGTTTGAGAATTAACGTTCTAGGGGGTTAAATAAATAATTTTCATTTAATAATCATCTGTTGTACATAATAGTTTTGGAGAATCATCATTAGACAGAGGGGGTACTGGTATGACAAAATGGCTCAGGGGGTACACAAGTCTAAAAAGGCTGGGAACCACTGCTCTACACTAATGCACTTTAAAAGCTTTCGCTCTCAGATTGATTATTTGTTGTTTACTYGTAGGGAAATGACATCATCGGTGCTGCCAAACGAATGGCCCTGCTCATGGCAGAGATGTCCCGTTTGGTGCGTGGAGGCAGTGGAAACAAGCGTGCCCTAATCCAGTGCGCCAAGGACATCGCGAAGGCTTCTGATGAGGTCACGCGGCTGGCTAAGGAGGTGGCTAAGCAGTGTACCGACAAGCGTATCCGGACCAACCTGCTCCAGGTCAGCTCATGTGAACGTTGTTAAGTTGAGCAGCCGTTTTTAAAACTACTTGTTTTGAGCTTAGCCTGTCTCTAACGTGGCTKCAGGTGTGTGAGCGCATCCCCACCATCAGCACTCAGCTCAAAATCCTGTCGACGGTCAAGGCCACCATGTTGGGCCGAACCAATATCAGTGAAGAGGAGTCGGAGCAGGTGAGCGCACTGGAACTTTTTGCCTTCCTTTTTATTTTAAAACAACTCCTCAAATCAAGTCCCACTTGTCGCTAAATGTTTGAATCCTTTCAGGCGACGGAGATGTTGGTCCACAACGCTCAGAACCTGATGCAGTCTGTGAAGGAGACTGTAAGAGAGGCCGAGGCAGCTTCTATCAAGATCCGAACAGATGCAGGTTTCACCCTCCACTGGGTCAGAAAGACCCCCTGGTACCAGTAAGATACCAGCCACTGGTCSTCTGCTTTGTGCTGGTTCTGTCCAGCTGTCCACGAGGACGTTGAATGGACAGACGTATGCTTTATCAAAGCAATGCCAGCGCCCCCACATCTTGTGGGCAAAGTTTCTCCCATGTCCTGTCTGTAAAGGTTGCTGTTCTGATATAATTTAAATGATGGGACTATTAGTGCAAGTTCTGGGTTAAATTCTTTCTGGGAAGTGTGTAAAAATATATTATTAAAGCTTAACATATCCCAGGATAATGCATATATATATGGGTCATATAATATAAGTGTGATTGTTTCGATCCAGAAGGGATTAAATTAAAATTAATTGACATTTTTATATCKTTGTACTGATTTACTTTACAATCACTATCATTGGATCAGTTTTGGCTTTAGGGGAAGCACATGAACTTTAGGAGCTCTTACAAGTACAGCAGAGGCCTGTGCTCAGTGGTGTTACAGCTGTTTACAACCTTCTGCATTTAAAATAAACTAAAAAACACTGTCCTTACTTTTCATACTGTAATGGAGTTGTAGCAGTCTTTATTTTCTTCATAGTTCTGCCAAAGATATTTACCATTATCTTTGAAAACTGATTCATTTTAGGTGTTTCACACATTGAAATCAAGTTAAAAAATCTGCTTCACTTTGAGGCCTGAAAGACTTTTTTTTTTTTACTTTATTTTCCTCTAGCAGGCCAACAGAATTTAAATATTACGTTCCGTTAGCTGTAAACACCACACATTTGTATGATGATTATTTTTTTGTGCACATTTTTTGATAGTCAAGGGAATTTTACCATGAAGCACATTGTCTGCAGCTGGAGAAACCTATCGTCTCAGATTTGTTTTAATGTGACTCGATACACTAAACAGAACCAGATACCTTTTAAAGCAACTGAAGAAGATACTTTAAAAATATCTGGAGATGTTTTTTTTTTTTTTTTGTGGAAGTGTCCTTTTTTAATATCTAAATGCCAACTGATGTGCCTTGCTTTATAAACTTATTTTTTTGTATTTGTAAAAGCTGCTTTAGTGCTAATTACTTACACATTTGTTAAAGGTTGGCCTTATACAAATCAAGTTATACTCTATGCAAACCACGAGTTTTTTTTCCTGTAAAATTATGCAACTTGGTTGGGTTTAAATGGGTCTGAACACGATTATGCTTGAGCATTGTTCACAGTTTTGTAATAATAAAKCATTTTATAACACCTGTAGGTGTGCTGTTGTTTAATCTTTGTTACACAGGAACCCTCAAGACTGCAAAAACATGATTTTGTTGCTTTGCGTTTACATTTTTGTTAGCTGAAATTAGTTTTTTTTTTATCCTGACACTTTAAACTTTCCCCAAGATGATCAATTAAAAATGGGTATTTATACATGATGGCATTTTGCTCTCATACCGTCTTCTGCCTTTTGAGATGAAAATCTGCAAAGTAATTAGGAATATAAACCACATTTAGTTTGTCATGAGTAAACTGCAAAATGACTTTTTTCACTGTTTTTTTTTTAACAGTAATGTTTCAATTAGCTTTTTTTTCATATGTCATTCTTGCTGAGACATTTGTGTTTTAATAAAAATGATTTCTAGCTGGTCTGTTGAAAGTGGTGCACATAAGTGTGACTTGTTTGAAAGAGGCCAGAAATCACCTATTTTGAGTAGGTCAAACATGGACCGGATGTGCGCTTTTATTGTGAAAGCAGCACGTAAATAGGTGTACCGTAATGTCTTGAGCTACCGCGCAATTGTAGATTGTGCGCTGGGCCGGCTGGAGTCAGAGCCGGCTAGCTTTACCGCAGTCAGAAATCACTGCAAAACCTCTAAAGCCAATTTACCTAAGTGACACGTTTTATCTAATATGGCATAATTATTAAGATGACTGTTTTTGAGCTGATGTATATCAGACTATGATGCAATTAGTCCAAACGCAAGACCCTTAAATGTTGAATGAGTWGTGTTTTTACTCCTGAGACACACCTGGACCATGCTGTTCTTGAACAAAAATAAAAAAGAAATGATAGTGATATTCTAAGCTCCTTATGATCTTTAAGTTAACCCTCTGACAGGCCAAAGTAACAAACCAATGTGGACCCATCCAAAACTAATTTCCTCTTAAGACTTCAGGCGGATGACTAATTTCTTTATTACCATTTGACAGGAAAGGAAACAGCTCTTCCTGCTACTCTTCCCTGTTAGGGGAAAAAAAAATCCTCCACAATTTTTTTAGAGGCTCAACAGCATTAACAAAGCCACTGCAGACTCAGATAAATATGTCTAATGAAGAAACGAATACATGGAGTGGGAAGAAAACGGCGTTAAGGTAAAAAAAAAAGGCAAATAAATTAAGTAATTTAAGCTAGCGTCGAAGCTAGCSGCTGTAGCTAGCTGCTAATGAAGCTAACCCGTGTTGTGTTGTGTTAAGGGTCAGCTGGAGGTGTTCGGAGATAAGACGATCGGACATTTGAACGTTACATCATCTCGGAGCATTCAAGTCAAAACAGTTTTTTACACGCGTCCCGTTTGGTCACGATGATACAAATCAGCTAGCAGAAACCGTTCATCACATGACTYGGACTCACACACAAATCCAAATATGTATCCAGCCTTTATCCATCCTTTTTGAAACAGATATTCGAGTTTTAATGCCTACTCTAATGCTATTTTGAAAACATCTGATCAACTAATGACAGAGTTAGACAGGAAACAGTTATTAGGTAAAATATTAACATAGTTAAAGAATGTTTCATAAATTRTAAAACCGCTTGTTGGAAAAGTAAAAAAAAAAAGGATTGATTACATATTAAAACACGAAAATAGAAAGCTAAATTTAAAGAAAAAATATGGTGCAGCAAGATTTATGCCTTGYATTACTAGTTTAGTTGTTTACAGTTTTTATTTGTAATTAGCCCACACAATAAAATGTTTTATTTTACAATTCAGTGGATAATGTTTTGTTGACATAAAAAAAAACACGTGCGGCGTTCAATTGACGTAGGAAACTTAATCGAGACATACTTTTTAAAAACGAATCCGGGAACATTTGKGACACATTAAACGACTAATCATTTGAAACGGGTTACTTTAAGTTACATTGTGTTTCAAAACAGCACACAACATTTCCGAAAGACATGATTTGGTTATAAATGAGCAAAATAGACATCTTTTTCTTATATAACATACTATGCGTTAAAACAGGGTGGTCACATCCTTTACTTCATTTTTCCCGATTAAAATCAAATGCAGCATAAAAGCCTTACAGTAATTGGAGCGTGTGTAGCCAATCATAAGYCTAGATGACGTTGAGACCCGCCCACTTCACCCACCAGCGGGCTAGGGTTGGCCACAGCTTTACTACAGTTCCTGAGTTAAAAAAGCACGTTGCTTTGAGGAAGGACAGATCGTTCAAACATTTGGAGAATTTTCTGAGAACATGCCAACACCAAGGTGAGGTGATCTGAACCATGCAGGGAGGAAATGCAGCTGTCATGACCTCTGCTTTGACACATACTTGTGCTTGTACTTTTAGTGACTTGACACAATTTTGACAAGTCTAGACACTCAGTTTAGTGGTTTTTCTTTTGTGCTTGTCATTAACACTCTGTGTTGATAAGACTTTGGCCACTATGTCATGTTATTGATTACATATTCTAGATTTCTTTAAGGGTTTGTGACACAAATTACAGTTTTTTTTTTCTGACTCAACCACTTTAGACATGAAATACCTCTTTTGTTATTATGAAGGTACATCAGAGCAGCAAYACAATTATCTTTTCTGGATATTTTAAATGTCAAGATGTACCATTTTTAAAAAGCAATATTTACACATACACATGCAACTAAAGCTGTAACTATATGCAGTAACTCCAGCTTTAATTTCTCACGCCTTGTTGGCATTTTTTATTAGAGGGAGGCTCTCGGGGTAATAGAGCCTCCATGGAAGCACAGATGTGCAACCCTGACTGAAACTTCAGTCATTTAAGTCAACAAACCCTGACCAGATGACTTCCTGTTTCACAGCAGATTGCTGGCTTCCTCGGTTCACGCAGAGCAGCGTGGTGGGAGTCCAGATCACACAATATGTTTATGTCTCCTCACAGTGAAAACACGCTCTTCGGGATGGGCAACCCGCTGCTTGACATCTCAGCCGTGGTGGACAAAGACTTCCTTGACAAGTAAGTTTAAACAGCTCGTGCGCTTTCACTTGTTTCATCTCATGTGTCTAATTTGGCTGAAACACAATAAAATAATTCACTTTTTTTTTCTGTCTAAAAGGTTTGGACTGAAGCCAAATGACCAGATCCTTGCTGAAGACAAACACAAAGCCCTGTGAGTCTTACAGATACACCGGCTCGGTAGTAGCGTAATGCATCGGGCCAAAAAATTACATCAAACTTTTGTAAAATGCTTGGATTCCATTTTCAGAACCACCTTCTTGGCAGATTTTACACTGAAGTCTTCCTGAAAAACACCGTGTGTACGTCTAAGCACAGCTTTTCACACCTTTTTAGAGCGGAGGGTGAATAACAACAAGTAAACAAACTTAACTACGCTTTCATTTTTTTGGCTGATCTGAACGCACCCGTCCTCCTCTGTTTAATTCAGTGCAGATGGTTTCTTTGCAGGGAGTTTGCCCGCATTTAGCACACCATCTGGAGGTGAGGCACCAGTGAGAGGAAAGCGTTTAAGTTTGCCGAAAAGTCAAACATATCTCTTGTTTCACTATGTGGGAAATTTTGCAGTTTGGAAGAGTTTACTGCAGTAGTTTTCTTAAATTTATTATTATTCAAAATTGAAATGAGGGTCCGCGCTCAGTGTAAACAAAGCATTCTGAATTCATCACATGGCTGACAACATGGGAGCAGTAGAGATTGTTATTTTTTGTGCTTTAGTTTAAGGAGCATCAGTGACAACCTTTTCTGTCGGTCAGTTAAACATTTGAAAATATTAAATAAAACTAATTGCAGAAAGGTTTTTTTAAATAGTGGCTTCACACGTATATCATATTTTTAATGTTTAGACACAACCTGCAGCCCAGATTCTTGCCTGAGCTCCATCGACACTTACTCGAGTGCAACAGATGACTTTTCCTTTGGCTGCTGAGCGAGTATCGAGTGTCACACAGCTGCCCAGTTGTATCTGTTGAAGAATGTGAGAATCCAATATGGCAGCCGCCCCGCACCACCAKTTAACTGTTCAGCTTTTCCTCTTGACATATATTGGTTCATAAACAAACATTTTGTCTGCATTCGTAATTAATGAACAAAATTCAGTGATTCGAAAGCAGTTGTTTAGTTTCTGTTACTGTTTCCTTTCTYTGCTGACAGTAATTTTAAACGTGCCCTCCTTTTAGTACGTTGCTTTAAAGTGGACATATCATGCAAAATCCACTTTTTTAGCCATCAAATTCATTTTGCTCTGTTCACCAGTGCAGAGAATTTCAAATTAGTGTCTCCAGGTGCTGCAAAGATATCGTCCTATTATGTTCTGGTCATATTTTTCAACCTGTTCAGTTTTCTGAAATATTACATCACATTTGCGACGTAACAGRCATAAGTTCTGGACTTCCTAACTACACTTTGGTCGTCTTCCTTCKCCTCTGGCTCTGGGTCAGACTCAGGCTCCAACATGTGAGGCTGGATGGACAAGTCTTCCCTTTTTTGACATYTTTTAATTAATTTGTAAATAAAGGGTTTCTGCACTGCTTGATAGCCGTAAACTCCCTCCAACAAACTGGAATAGACCACTCTGGAAGCTGGAGGTGGAGAAGCACATTGTTTGGATTTAAAGAGACAGCCTCAAAATGAGTTGTTTTGAGACATGCCTCAGAAAAGGGGTGAATGAGGGGCTTGTGGAGTTACAATAATGAGGAATTCAGATCAAAGCATTGCTGTTCCACTTTATATAAACCCCAAATGAATGTTTTAAATGTGAAAAAGGATTTGAAGCATATGTCCACCTTTAAAGCCATTTACAGTAAATGAATAGAGTAGATCTTTTTCAAGTGTCATTGTGTGGAAAAGGCTTGAGTAATGAGTATCTTACCTGTTGTGGATAACTCTCTGAACAACCTCAGTTTGGAGAAATCTAGATTAAATCTGACCAGAATGATGAGTACAGAAGCTGAGAGCGTCTGTTTTCAGCATATATTTTTTTCCCATGGTTTTCTCATGATGAAGACGTAGTATGTCGTTATCACAAAATAACAAGGACTGATTTCTTAAGATAATGAGTTAATTTCCGGATGATTTTCTCAAGATGAGTTATGCTTTTCTATGCATCATTCAGTAACGATGGAGACGGCCCGATCCTCTGAGCTAGTCACCGATAAAATTTATTATATCAGCAGGTTTACTGTGTAAACACCTGCTGATCTCCAGTCGGGCCAGCCGTCTCCTTAAATGATGAGGGCTGATATGAAAGTTATTTGTTCAAGACAAACAAATTGAAATTTCATCCTGTGTAATGATACAAAAATGACACAAACTGATGTACATTAGGTTGCCTTCAGGCCCAGGCCGCCCTTACAATAGAGATCTGCGATCTCAGTGGGATTTGCCTGATTAAATAACAGCAAATAAATAAATAGATAGATAGATAGATAGATAGTAAACTTCATCAGTGACCAGCTGAGGGGACCAGGCTGTCTCTATGCTTACTGAATGATGCAAGAGTGGAAAATTATCAGGAAATTGGTTCGTTATTTTGAGAAAACAGTTCTCCTTATTTGGAAAAGAACTAAATTTCTCTATCTATCTATCTATCTATCTATCTATCTATCTATCTATCTATCTATCTATCTATCTATCTATCT